AACACAGGTTACTTAAATTTATAGTATCATTTGATGTTGTTGTAAGAAAACACAGGTTACTTAAATTTATAGTATCATTTGATGTTGTTGTAAGAAAACACAGGTTACTTAAATTTATAGTATCATTTGATGTTGTTGTAAGAAAACAGGTTATTAAACTTATAGTATCATTTGATGTTATTGTAAGAAAACACAGGTTACTTAAATTTATAGTATCATTTGATGTTATTGTAAGAAAACACAGGTTATTAAACTTATAGTATCATTTGATGTTGTTGTAAGAAAACACAGGTTACTTAACTTTATAGTATCATTTGATGTTGTGAGAAAACACAAGCTACTTAAATTTATAGTATCATTTGATGTTGTAAGAAAACACGGGTTACTTAACTTTATAGTATCATTTGATGTTGTTGTAAGAAAACACAAGTTACTTAACTTTATAGTATCATTTGACATTGTTGTAAGAAAACACAGGTTACTTAACTTTATAGTATGATTTGATGTTGTTGTAAGAAAACACAGGTTACTTAAATTTATACTCAATACATATTAATCACTTTACAAGCTGGTAAGACGCTAGTTTTATAACAACAAAAAATGATTAGGTAAACAAAGTTTATTTGTTCTTCATAGAAGAAAGGCATAAATCTTTAAGGTGTATTAGTTGTTAACCAAATTTTGGTAATGTTTACTATTGGAGAAGGTAAAGGAGCAAATATTTATCATACGGTATGGAAAAATACACATGAATAGAACTTCAAGAAAATGATGTATTATTAGTTTTTCTTGTTTCCTGTTTCAAGTATATGTTTTGGCACATTTTACACGTGCTACCCATCCTAAAAAGCCCATTTCTTCATCTTTAGACTTGGTCATCTACTATTTAATATTTGTTTGGGTTTTGATTATTGTTTCTCTATAGTGACATCAAAAATGTATCAGCTAGTAGAAAGACAATTTTTTTTTATGGAAGTACAAACTGTTAGAATTCCCTAGTTTTGTAATGGGAAGATTGTTGATGTCACAACTGATCTTTACACAGGACATTCTGAGCAAGGTTGTGGAAGGTCAAGTACATAGAATAATGATCAATATCCTCATAACATACAGGTATTCATTAAGAATTGCCGGTTCTTTGTATGTGAACTCAATATGCAACTGTCATGGTCATCAGTGACTAAATGACTAAGTAAAAACGTCATTAGCACAACATCAAATGAAAAAGGCTTGCTTCAACCCCAAGGTTGACAACATTTGAATTTCTTTTAAAATGAACTATCAGTAACACTGCTATTATATAATACTTCTGCTCTTAGCATATGAATCAAGGTTTAATATCTCTACCACTGTTCAGTGGTTTCATGAATGGAGAGTCAAACATGAAAGATATGCTTAATTCAAAATCATTAAGTATGACTGTATTTCATTATTAGTGTGAGATACCAATAATGTGTATAAATGTATAGATTATATTATTGGGTAGAATTTGTTCAATATGTAGTAGATTATATTATTGGGTGGGCTTATGTTCAATATGTATTGAAACATCATTGGAC